CCGGAACTGGTTTAGGTTGTTGTCTAGTTGATAGGTTTTTGTTAATATCTTCTTCGAGATTTTATAAGCATTTTAATTTGTTATGCAATAATTTATTAACGGACGAGAATTCTTGGGTCGACGCGAGCCGGTTGCGGGATTCGTATTACCGACAAGTCATCGCCGTGATTTGAACCCATCTCTTCTCATTCGAAGGTGAGCGCTTTATCCCCTGAGCCATCGTGGAACTGGTATAGGCTCTTGTCTAAAACTTGCTTTGGCTTTTACTGTGTTTAACCAAAAACAAAGTACTAATGGGTTAAAAAAATGTGTATCTTGGTACTAATGATATAATACAATGGCCTTAACATTCGGCAACAACATTCAATATTTCTAAAGCAAAAGAACAATATTTCTAAAATTTGCAACATTCAATATTTCTAAAATTTGTTTATGACATTAGTTTTTTTTTGTTTTGAGGGTCTGAATTCTTAAACTGTGTCAAAAATAAACTAAAATATTTTTGGAGCTATAACTTGTTTCAGACGTGAGTTTTTTGGTGATTTTGCCAACGAAACTTTTTGTTGTGCTGACATCACTTTACGATTTTGTACAATGAGCTTACATTTGGGTGCGAAATTCAAATTTTCTTTGTCAAAAAATAAGCAAAGAAACCACCTTCTTTTTTTGATAGATTAACTAACAAATTTTTTTGTTGAGCTTATGATATCCTACAATTTTAACTAGTGGTTACTTTATCAAAAATTAGCTGAAACTTGTTTTGACCATATCATTGTACGTATAATTTTCTAGCAAAACTTTTAATTTAACACGTGCTAACAGTTTTATTACAATGGGTTAACGTTTGAAGTTAAGACTTTAAATTGTGGCTACTAGATCACTAAGTTGCTGTGCAGACGATTAATGTGCTAAAGTTTTGAATCTATAATCAAATAGGTAAAGAATTAGTTAAAACACAGTTTGGCCAAGTTTTTGGTGGATGGACTAATTTTTCGTTAAACTTAAGATTTTCTTTTACAGGCTAGCGTTTGAAGTTTATAGTTCAAGAGTTGCCTAAATCTTGTTATGACCAGAGCTGTTTTTGATGGCTGTGGTATAGAAATATTTTTTCGGTTTAACGTGGACAGAAAATTTCCTATAATGAACTGTCAATTGGAAAAAATTATTCTCTTATCTTGTCTAATTTTTATCAAGAAAACTTAAGCTAACAATTTTTCATAATGGTGTATTGTTTAAAAGCAAATTTAAAAATTGTAGATTTAATGTGAAAAACTTGTAAAAACCTGTTTAGGTGGTTTTGATCTCGACCATTTTTGAGGCTATCATTATCTGATTTCTAACAACGGGCTAACGTTTGAAGGCGAATTTTTAAGTTGCGGTTCCTATGCAAAAAATCAGCTAAAGCTCGTTTTGGCTATATCTTTTGATTGGTAGAGTAGGGCTAATATTTTAGGACATTTTGTAATTTCTCGGTCAAAACAAAAATAAAATTTGTCTGTATCTTTTCTTGGTGAGTTAGCTAATGAAACTTTTTGTAGAACTCATGTAGCCTAATGGCATTTTGTGCAATGGACTAACGTTTGGTTTCAGAATTCTAATGTTTGGATACTAGATTGAAAAGTAGCAAGAAAAAAATTTGGCCTAACGAAAATTTTTGTTTGGCTAACACATGCTAACGTTTAATTACAATGGTTTAGTTAACATTTGAAGACTAAATTGAAACTTGTGCTTGCTAGATCCTTAAGTTGGTATGATGACGAGTTGTTAAGATGAAGGTATCAAAACTATGATTTTTTGGAACAAAAGTTCTCTAAAAGTTGTTTTGCAATAGTTATATTTTTGCTTAGTGGGCTAACTTTGATAGAAGAATGTTAATAGGAAGTATAGGTTCATCTAATCAAAGTTTTTCTTTCAAATAAATAATACTGAAATGCATTATTCACATATACATTAATAGTGTTGTAAATTAAACAGTATTATTTCTAATTGTTCCTTTTAAAATGCTTATAACTTATTATTTTGTTTGCATTTTACAGGACATATCTTTATGAAAAGGAAGATTTATGGAAAAGTGTTCCGTGTTACATCATAGTCCTGGTAATGATTTTTATTATGTGCTTCAGAAATTTTTGGGCTATTAAAATATAATTAAGGGGATTTGTAACTTGCTTATTTTTCTGCTAATGGGGTGAAAAGGTTATAAGCAGTTCTAAAATGACTTCTATTTTTTGTTAACCCCTATTTATTATCCTCTATCTATTGATAATAATTACTACAATAGGCTAACGTTTGGAAATACATTTCTGACTTGTGTTTCCTGAGTAATAATTTCCATTAACATTTTAGTTGTACCTTTTTTTGTATTGGTGGGAAAATTAATGCGACGTGATTTCAAGCTTATGATTCGAAAATTATGGAAATTATACTAGTTGGATTTAAAAAGTCCCATAGGTAGATAAACGGTTAATACAGTGTCGAAAATTTATAAATATTATTTTCAAATGACTTTATGTGATATGATAACTTCATTCAAATCTTACAACTATTTTTGAATGTTTATCAATCAGGTTCTTGTCTTTATGATGAGGAAGATTTAGGCATGATAGTCTTCGTGATGAGGATGGCATATAATTGGCAGGTTTTTGGTGATGCACCATAGTTCTGGTAATTATGTGATTTTATAATTCTTTTCTGACAAATGGGGGGATGGAGTATAAGCAATGATAAGGTACGACACTGTAATAAGCTAAGGCGGGGGAAATTTTATTTTTATTAGTATTTTGAATTCTTTTCTTAATGAGATATAACATGTGATAATTACATGAGATGTGTGCAGAGATAAAATTTAAATAATGTTTCAGCAGAAAAAAACATGGTTCAAATTTTTTCATAAGTCATCAAGTAGCTTTTTTTGTGGCTTGCTTTATGAAACTTTTGGATAAACTATTTGCTATAATACGTTAACGTTTCTAAGGAATATTCAAACATTAGATTTCGATGACAAAACTTAACCAAAAGTAATTTTTTGTTTAAACTTTTTTTGCTGAGCGAAATAGGACAAAATTAGTAATACTTTGATACCAGCAAGTAGTATTTTTTTATCGGGACAATTTTTCAGAAATTTAAAATTTAAAACTATTAAAATAACTGTTCATATTATTTTTGTAACGCATTTCTCAAAATGTCATATACATAATATTATCAACCATAAATTAAAATTTGGTGAGAAATGAAGTTGATTTCTAAATGAATCTTTAATAGCGAAATTCAGTTCGTCTGAATTACTGATCCAGTGTAAAATAAATGTGTTCAGGGTTTCATTATTCAAAAAAGAAAAATAAGTAGAATCCTAACTGACATAAAACTTATAAATAGATCATTGTAAATAAAACATGTAAAAGAAAGAAAGATGATCAGAAATCCATATTACAGTTGGTTGGTTGGTATCGTATAATAGACAGAAAATACTTTTAAATGTGATCAAAGATCCTATATACAACAGCTGCAATTTGAAGGCAACTATCTTCATATAACCATATTATAGTAAAAACTGCATAACCTTTATATTAATTATACGCTAGAACCTTTCAAATTTCTGATATGCAAAAGTTTCGTGTACTCGAAAACTGTAAACCTCGTTTTTTTAACTTGTACTCGAAAACTGTAAACCTCGTTTTTTTAACATTACTCAATTTTCTGGAGAAAGCAAAATGCTGCGTCTTAATGTAAACTTATTATCGTAATCAATGCTTATAAAAAATTTTAACGATAAAGAGAAAAAAAATATAATGGTTGTCCCTAAATATTAAGTTAATTAAAAGAATTGAAATCATTAAGTGGTGAAACGAAATGTAAGAATATAAAAATACTTTACTTAATTTTCATCTATATTTATTAAAAGTTTTCGCCGCAATATCGCCTTTCATGTTAGCGTACTTAATATACTAAAAAAAAACTGCGATAAAAAAAGCAAAAGTTTATGCATTTATAAAAGAAAATGAAATTGTAAAATAAAAAAAGAGCAAGAAACCGAAAAAGTATCAGAATCACAATTTCAGCAAAATAATAACAATAAACAGGAATAAAACAAAAGCAATATAAAACAGATATAAAAACAGTACTAACAGTTATGAAAGAAGCAAAAGACAAACTGAAATGTAGATCGTTTTGAGTTCAAAAAATTTTTTTTATTTCTCCACATTATATAGGAAAAAGTGGCGATAAAGGACTAAAAATCTTCAGAAATGCTCTTAAAAATGCCGCATCATATTAAAACCGAAACAAAAAATTACAAATAAAGAATAACAAGGAAAAAAACAGTTCTGAGAATCTAAGTTTTTCATATTACCACAATTTCGAGTAAAACTAGCCACAAAGAAAAAAAACATTCTAGTAGAATCTGAGTTTAAAAATACTGTGCCCGTATATAAACACAGTTTAAAAAATTTAGAAAAAGATAAAACGGCAAAAGATGGTTCTTAATTCTTAGAACAAAACTAAAAAGCCAAAAATTAAAAAAATTAAAAAAAAAACGATTATAGAAAAAGTCTATCAAAAGAAAAGAAGAAAAAAAAACTCCTAAAATATGTGCCTGAATAAAATCGCCGTTAAAAACAATAATTTAGAATTTAATTCTGGTAAATAAATTGTTTTTAATTCTCAAAAGAAGCCTTTATCGCTGTAAATTTCGATTTTTCGTATTTCCGCAAGAAGAGAAGATTAAAAAGAATAGTTTTATTCGTCATTAAAATCTTATTTAGTAATCTTGTAACGTCCGTCAGTTCGATCACCGCCGGCCGAAAACTGTGTAGTGAATGTTGACTGGTGCAAGTTAAATCTGTCTGGTCACAAAATCTTCCATGCTTCCATAATAAATCATACTTCTGGGGGGAACTGATTTGGAGATAGATCAGTCTCTGGTTCAGGTCAAAATCATGATCTGTTTATGGATATATGAGCGGGTCCATCCTTTAAAAGGGCTGTGACGTGTGTGTTTGAAGTCACATTTTAGGCTATAGATGGCGCCAGTGAAAAACCAGAAACGCACCGTCTGCTCTAAAATTCGCGTGGGTTCACAAAGCAGGCTTGCTGGTATAGGCAAATTTCATTTATAATCAGCAAAGACAAGAATGCGTAGAATGAAAGTTTCTGAGAAAAAAGCAACTTTCTTGCGTAATACAAGAAGTCACAATCACTGATTTTGGAGCACATGGTGCAACAATTTTGACGGAAAAAAGTAGCGTCAAGTGGTGAATGGCAGGCAATTGTTTAATCGAATTTTTTTTTTAAACATATTGAGTCTCTCTGTGGCCAGTGGCGGTTGATAATTCATCCCTATACTTAGAGGGCTAACTTTGGTTGACAGAGGTATGAAGAAGAATATGAGAACATGATTATTCTATAAAAAAAAATTTTTCAAATTTAAAGTCTTCAAAATCTAAATTTTTTTTCTATATTTATTTAGTTACATTTATTAATATCTTACAGACAGTAGTGTAGTTTATTGACATTTGCTCTAGAACAAAATATAAAATAGCAATTCGCCAAATTTTGAATGCCAGGAAAGTGACATATTAGCTTAGTTAAGAAAATAGTCATTTTAAGCTAATAGTAAGTAACTCAACTTAAGAAACTCAAAAGAGCAAAGTTGAAAATTTTAACTTTTTATGTAAATAAATTCCAAAAGTAATTATAGTGAACAATTTGAAGAAATAAGTTGAGTATAAAAAAAAAATGAGAGAATAACACACCCAATGGGATATTTTTTATTTTTACTACATTTTAATTTGCAAAGAAAACAAAAAAATTCATTAATCTTGAAGCTTGCAGAAGAAACAAAATGCCTGGGAGATATTGGGTATGGAGCAGACATTTTTAAAATGATGATATTCTTAGAAATTTTGACAGTCTTTTTTTTCCCGGGCCTCTTGAAGTGATTAGCAGTCTGTTTGCCTGTCCGAATAATAAAGTTGACTTTAATATCTTTATGAACGACTTCAAAAACTTCTCCTGTAATGAAAATGATAATCTCAGGAATTTTTCTGATTTCATCATTTAAAATAGGTTTTACTATAGGTTAGTTTAAAAATTAGTTCAATTACCCAGAAACCATTCATCTTCGAATTGAATAACCACCCAACTATTAACTTTAATTTTCTCAGAATCAGCTTTAATAGGGCCATGCTCAGGTGAATATGATTCATTATCAAAATGAAGAGTTGGTACTATGGTACGAAAATTTGAGTAGTTGAACGAACCAATGTGAAAGTCACATTTAATATTGGCAGTTGCAGCTCATTTTATGAAAGAAGAGGCTAGTTAAAATCTTTTTTCGAGAAGACTTGGTGTACATTCATAAGACCCCTTGAAGAGAATGGTTTTTTTTTCTTCAGTAAATTTATCAAATGAATAAATAAATAAATCGAATGAACTGGGCAGCTCACATTTTCAGAAGGAATGATGACTCAAATTTAAAGAAAATCCTATTACACAAACCCCTAACGAAAGAGGTAGACCCAGGCTGAGATGGCTGGATTTAGTTGAGACTGATTTCCTTACTCTAAAGGAGAAAAACTGGCGAACAAGTGTCAAAAGTAGAGAGAAGTGGATTCGAATTCAAAGGAAGGCACTGGCCCACCCTGGGCTGTCTAGCCAGATATGATGATGAAATTTATCGACTGCATTTTTTCATTGAGCATACCTTAAGTTTCGTTCAGGTTTTTCTTTTTCAAGGAGCTCTCTATCATTTTTAATTCTCCCATACCGTTTCTACTCGGCTTCTCGTTTTTTTTTCTCAGTTTATTTTTCTTTTACTGTTTTTACTGTCCCATGTTCTAAAATAACCCGGTAAAATTAATTTTATTATAAATTACATTGGAAATTTTTTTATTATAATATTTAAATTTAAAATATTTCAAATTATTTTATTTACAACTTTATTTCATTCTTTAATTTATGCACCCAAGTAGAGTTTAAAGACTGTGACAGAATTAAATCGTACAGTGATGTTCTTAACTTATCCTTTATATTTTAACAATATGTGTTTTGAAAAAAAAATAACCTAAAGTCTTTGCTTTAGATGGACCATGAATTGTTTGAATTAATTCTTTCAACCACTATAGAAAGAATCAAAAGTGTTTTTATTGTTGATATGTCCGGAATAAATATTTTTGATTGCATACAAGCATATTACAATCTTACATAAGCTGGGTATTGGGTAAATATTTGCTTTCCCTCTTTATATTACACTGTTTTAAAAAAATTCTGGTAACTGAGTCAATGTTCTCTCTTTCATAAGCCAGGATGATGACAATTTCCCATTTTACAGCATTTAACTTTACTTTAATTTAACATTTCGGCATAAGACGTTTACTTTCCGCAGGAATCTGCAGGATTTTTTTTAAATAACTCAGGTAAATCTGTGTAGTTTTTGTTATTAATGATTTCAAGAAGACAGGAAAATGAGAACTTAAAAGGCTACTCACCTTGTAAAACTTTTTGAACGAGAAAGTTAGTTTTTTATTCCTGCAATAAGACGTGTTCTGATAGAATGGTATCTAATCAATCTCTTAACCTAAGATATTGATTGCTGGCTCTATCTATTTTAGTTATAAACTAGTAAAAAAAGTGGCCAGGAAAATGACTGATTTTCATGTGACCAACTAATTATTGACAGAAAAAATTATCTTCAACAAAGTTTTTGGAAATAATACCCTTTGCATATATTACAGAAATGCTTACGACGGTTGAGATAAGAAAAAATTAGATATTGAAAAATGTATGGGAAGTTTTGAAGGCTATTATTGGAAATATTATTTGTGACATACCAGGAAAATGACATTTTGAAATTCAATTAAATTTTTTAAATATGCAAAGCAGTCAATGCTAATGCAAAGTCATTTTAAAATGCTAACAGCAATACTATTGATTTTTTTAAAGTTCTTTTAGTAGTATAGTATTAGATCTCGGAACAAGAGACTGTCAAATGTCGTATTTCATGAGAATCAGTCGCATAACAGTACTGTAATAAAATTTTTCTTCGAACAAATAAATATTAGTGACCACATACTCATATATGTCGTAAAATATGAATAAAATATCAGCCTTTTAAAATAATATCTGATTGATTACTTTGCATTTTATAGGACAGGATGTTGTCTTTATGATGAAGAATAGTATTATGTGATTCATCATAGCTCTGGTAAGAATTATATACTAGTGCTTTAATAAACTTTCAGGCCTTTCAAATCTAACGAAAGCACATGAAGTCGGAAAAGGATTTATGATTTGCTCACTTTTTCGTGCAAAGTTTGCGGAAGGTTATGAGCGATGTCTGATAAATGTTCAAATTTACTACTATATCATAATTTACTTATGTTATGAATACTTCAAACGCATCTTGTTTATAAATCGCGTGTAAATTTGGTTTTAATTTACGACAAGTAAGACCCTCGATAGTTTATTTCCTACAGTCTTGTTATGAGCATTGTTAACATGCGACACTAAAAGACCATTATTTTCAGTTGGAGTCAAGAGATACTACAATGGACTTACGTTTTGTCAATTTTTAAGTCTAGTAATTTGTCTAATTTCTATGTCATAATTTTTTGGCGTAACATCAGTGGAACTTTTTGTCTGATTACCAACGCTAAATATTTCCTACAACGTTTTTCAAAATTCAACTTTACAGTTTCTGGGACGAAAGTTGGCTAAATCGCAGGACGCCGTGTCGCAGTTAAAAACATTTTTTTTTAATTTTGTTGTTTTTTTTCTACAGAAATTTACACGTGAAATTTGTATCATGCATTTAGATAATCACTTATTGATTTACTCCGATAGTATCGTAAATCGATATATTGTTTCAACTGTATTTTCGGTAGTTATTAATATTGATACTCAAGTGGTTTTTAAATATCGATTTCTTGGATGTTTTTGCTATCGATTTCTCCATAGTTTCTTAAGTACGAGATCATTTATTACAACAACCTAATCTCGAGACGGAACGCGCATTTGAGTAATTCCTTTTTTGAGGCGTCCGATTCGCGTGATTTTGTCTTTTTTTTTCGTCAATTGCCACTACGCGGATTTCATGATTTGTAATTATTTTTTATTGTGATGATTATTTACAAAATGCGAAGAAGGAAATAATTAGTGCATTCCCCCCACCCCCATCAAAATGCGAGAATATCACCCATAATATTGGAATAAAAAAAAATTTCACGTTTAATTAAAAAATATATATATAGTTTTTTTTATTTATTTATTTTTAGAAAAACAACCCTTTTCTTTATTTCAAATTAGTAACGTATATCTTTAGCATCATTAAAAATATCTTGCTGAAAGATATCAGTGCTAGAGAGTTTTGTCGCAGATAGCTCAAAAAAATTCTACCACATGGCCTGAAACTTATTTTACAAAACTTTTTTCTTTTAGAATGGCTAACGATTTCCTGAAATGAGTTAAGCGTTTGGTGACGTAATTCAAATTTGTGGTTTCGTTCTCTTCAAGTAGTACATTTTAAGAAACTTGTAACGGCCATAACTTTTTCTGGTGGGAAAGCTAACGATTTTGTGAAGTGAGCCTATGTTTTGCGGCAGAATTTCTTTCTACATTAAAAATTTTCAAAAACATGTTTTAGCCATATTTTTTACTAGGTGGGATAATGAAAATTTTTGTTGCACCAAAAGTTTCCAACAAAATTTTGCAGTTTTTATGTAATAAAATAGGCAAAACTTATTTTGGTCTTACTTTTTTTGATTGGTGGGTAACTTAACAAAATTTAATTAATTAATTAATTATTTCCCTCAATGGATGAATATTTAAAGGCAGTATTCCAAATTTCTATGGCACAAGTTATCCTACGCTTATTTTTTCTTTAACCTAATTTTGGTTGATGGGCTAATGAAGATTTTCATAGGGCGAAAAATTTTGTTCAATAGGCTAAATTCTAGTTCGGTGAAAACTTTCTGTCTCTAGGTAAAAACTAAGGTAAACTTTACTTTGATTGTGTTTTGATGGCTCTTATAATTTGCTATAATGGACAAACATTTGAGTCCTAAGTTCAAGATAGTAGTTTCTAAGTAATAAATTGGCTAAAATTTATTTTAGTCAAAACTAGTTTTGTGGATGGGCAAGCAAAAATTTACGTTGGTTTTACGATTTCCTTGAAGGGACAAATGTTTGGAGGTGAATTTTTTAAACTTGTGTTTTCATCATTCAGGAATCACTATCAGGGCTTGTTTCTTTTTGTCATAAATGGTATAGGTTCTTGTCTAGTTATAATAGGTTTTGTATTAAAATCCTTTTGCAGATTTTATAAGCATTTTAATTTGTAATACAATATTTTTTCAACGGACGCAAGCTCTAAGGTCGATGCGACCCTGGTGCGGAATTCGAATCTACCAGTCATAGCCGGGATTCGAACCCGGCTCACTTCATTGAAAAGAGAGTGCTGTATTTCCTGAGCCATCGCGGAATTTTTTTACAATTTTATATTAAAATTGGGTCGTTGAACAACCAACCCAATTTTGTGTTAAACGACTACTAACGTTCAACTCCGTAGTCTTGTAATTTTAAACCCAATCCAGAGGACAAGGGAACTCCTGAGTTAAGTAGTGGGAAAAATTTGTCTTCGTGGATTACTTTTTGAGGGAACTAACCAGCACATGCGTTACATGGAGAGGAAGAGCACAAGCCTCCCACAGTTTGCCTGACGGCAAAGGGACTCTAACCCATGATCCGTCTACCACTCAGGATATTTTACGTTAGCGCTGTGATCGGTGGAAGCCGGATGCGGATTCGTATCGACAAGCCTTGCTGGGATTCGAATCCGGTTCGTCTAAGTGAAAGGTGAACGCTGTATCCTCTGAGCTATAGCGGCTCTGGTATAGGTTCTTGTCTAGTTTATAGGTTTTGTGTTAATATCTCCTTGAAGATTTTATAAGCATTTTAATTTGTAATGCCATAATTTATTAACGAATGCGAACTGTAGGGTCGATGCGAGCCGGGTGCGGAATTCGAATCGACCAGTCATCGTCGGGATTCGAACCCGGCTTACCTCATTGGAAGGAGAGAACTCGAACCCGGCCTGAGCCATCATGGCATTAAATCAATATCTTACATATTGCCTTTAAATATATCAATTGTGAAATTTCCTTTGATTTTTTTTTTAGTAGTAACATATTTAAACACGCCATGAATGACTGGAACTGTGAGTGACAATGAAGTATAAAACTGTACTTTGTAAGAGCTTAGAGTTGGTGATGTGTAAAAGCCAACACGAGAGAAGCAAATGCTTAATTGATCAGATCTTAAAAATTGGGATCTTAGGTTCCCTACCAGCCACTTAGCAAAACAAAAAATTTCAACGTCCTTTAAAAAAAAGTATTTAAGTTCTTTCTTGCAAATTGTTTACTAATTTTTATATAAATTTTTTCATGTTTCTAAACGAATTAATTAATTATCCCACATCAACGTTGCTAATTCATTTCGTTGATATAATTGTTCCTTATTACAAGGTTTTAAATTTTTAACAAAATAGAGCACAAGAGTTTGTTTTTTTAAAAAAAGGTAAAGGTGTTCTAATTCAGAAATAGATCTTAATCATCTTCAAAAAGAAAAGAAAAATAACGTCTTCCAAAATATTTACAAAAATTTTAGTATCTAGGACGTTCTCGTTTTTTATATTTTACTTTTAGGCCATATAGAGAAAATAACCAAATTTTATTTTAAACTTTAAATAAAAATTGCAATTTCTAATTCCTTTCAAAGTAACTTGGTTCAAGAAAATATTTATCTACTTTAAATAAAACTTAGGTGACAGCAATATAGTCTTTTCAATATGAGGCCTAAGTCATTAACTCAGCGAATAAGGTATTAATTTTAATTTTAAACTTTGTATTAATTTTAAACTTTTTTAAATAATTCCTTTCTTGAAATGTTTGATATCTTTTCGTTAGATATAAGTAGTTAGGATGAAAATAGTACAGAAACAGCTAACAAATTATCAAGGAGAATAACATTTATTTAAAAAAATATAAACTTGTTAAATCTAAGCATTTTTAAAGTTAAATTAAATTTTTAATAGGTATTTTGCATTGTTAGTGTCATCCATCCTTTAAAATTCAATTTTCTCCATTTACGAAAAAACTGAAATTAATTATGAATTTCTAATTTTGTAGGATTTTGATAGTTCTGAATAAAATGCGTGTCATCTTCACGAATCTCTCACGGTGCGTATCATTTTAAAAAAGTACTTAAAGGTGCTTATTTTAGACTTTTGTTTTCTAAAAGCTCTTATAGATGCTGTTTTTTATTGGGTGTTTTTAAAAAGTGCTTAATTTTCCCTTTTCGAAAATGAATTTTTTTCTTTACCATGCCGATTTTCGTCACGTATTATGCAAAAGAGTGCTTTTCACATAGTTCTATTCAACGTTTTCTCAATTCATTCAACCACAATATATTTCGGTGTACTGTCAGTCCGTAGCGTATGAAACCGTTAATCATTTTACATGCTTGATGAAATACGCGGGTCCGCATGTGCGTATACTGAGCTAGGTTCGGTGAGATTCTTGCTCTCTCATTTGCAACTCTGCTACATTTTGCAAGATATTCTCAAATTCAGATTTCATTTTCCACCCTCTGAAATCAAACCAAAAAATCTATCTATCTCATTATGGCGGCTAATATAATCAAGAAAAAGAGTTCTTTGTCAGAAGCTAGTTATTTTATCATGATGATATAAAGTCTTTATACATTAACGAAATGCCAAAATAATTTTTATAGTACTAGAAAAGTATTTAAAAGGTGCTTATTTTGCGTTGAAGGATTTGGCTACGCACCCTGTCTCTTTAATGAACCATCTTTAGGAATGAAACAGAAAATATTTCGATTTATGTGGAGACGTACAAATAAAGTATACTTTTTTACAACTTTGGGCACCCCTCTCTCCTTTTCTCCAAAACTTAGCAAATCTCATATAATGATTACGTCAGAAAGTAACAACGCACCACCTTGTTCTAATTATCACTTTTCCTGAAGTAATCTACTATTTGGATTTGTTATTTCAATTTATTTTATAAAAATTTGAGAAGAATATTCTTTAGAAATCTTTGCTGATTTTTTGAAATTCTTAAACATTGTAACATAAAAGCAATTTTTGTCCAACTTTTTCCTTTTTTATGCTTAACTTTTGTTTTAACTTTGAAGTTATTTCGATTGTAACTTTTCCCCAATCATTTTTTTCCTATGCCCACCTGGAGAATGACCTTTCGTCATACATGCATTTGAAGGGCTGTTCTTTACATTTTTAATTTAAAGAAAAATTTTAAAAATGATGTGATTAAATTCCTTACGTAAGCGTTGCTCGTCTTCCGCATGCTACTAGTCAGAAAAAGTATGTAAGTCACAAATCTACATCCTTGTTATGTCCTTACGTAAAGTTTGAAAGGAACATACAGTGTTGCATCAATATTTATATAATTCTAATCAATATGTCGCATTTTTTCAGCTTTCGAAAACTATAGGGTTAAGAAATCCAACGAAGAGTCGGCGTCTTAGCTTTTTAAAAGTGAGTCATAAAAAGAAGAATTTAATATTCTTCGTATTCATATTAACACTAAACATGCCAAAACTTAATCTATACCTAAGTATTGCTGCTAGGAAGGAAATAAATTTTTATAAAAATCTTCATTATAATGAAACAAAATTGTATAGTGCCAATTTTTAGGTATTATAAACACAAAGAATAATTTTTTTTAATTTATTAATCAAAGCATTTTTTACATATACAGGGTGTTTCCAATGTACATTTTCCGCAAACATGTTTCTTCTAATTATTATTTTTTCTATAATTCTTATAATTATAAGAATTATAATTATTCTTATAATTAGTATTATTTCCTCTAAGAACTTGTGCTGTCTTGATTGTTTCGACATTTTTCTGGTTAAAAACTAACAGTTAGTTAGAAATGAAGTAAAGCTATCAACATAAAATGTAAGCTACTTACCAAAACATTTTGTCACTTTTTCTTACACGAAAACGCCAATCTGAAATTTTAGGTACTTTCTTGAAATATGAATTCACAGTTATTCTGATGGAACTCACTACGCAACAGTCTTTGCAGAAATGTGCAATTCATCGAATGCAATACGTTGAACACGAATTGCATCGTCATTTCTGATCCGATTACCCTATAAAGCAATAAATTGTTCTCCCGGTAAAATGACCGGTTGTGGTAGCAGTAGGTATACGACAAGTATTATTTGAAACAAACGAAATATGTAAAAAAAATAATAATAGATTATTAACTGTATGTAATTGTTAGAAAAAGTCATGAAGTCAAATGTTCAAAAACGATAAGAGGATAAGTGCCAAAGTTCTTAAAACGGTCATTTGACCGGTTATGGTATGTTTAGTGTTAACAAGCATTTATATAAGTTTTCAAGAAACTAAAAAGAATACGCAATATAAATAAAGAGATATATTAATAACAAACATAATTTCGTGTACTAAAAATAAATTGCTTAACACATATTCGACAAGAAGACAACATATTTATCAAAATGTAAGCAAAAAAAAAAACGGTAATGTTCGTCTAGAAAATGTTTGAGACATTCTAATCCATTAAAGCCATTTTTTTAAAAATAAGAGCTTTCATTACGGAAAAAAAATGCACGATATAAGTAAATTAAAATAATTAATTTTGCTGTAGAAAGCATTTAAAATCTTCACGTAGACTTACAAAAAGTAGGTTAAAAAATTTTAATAAATGAATTATAAATAACAATGTAAACTGTAGCGTCCTGATAGGGGATGCTGTTTTCTGATAATGATAATAAAACCATTTCTAGAATAATCCCCTGTAGTATTAAATAAATAAACGTATTGTTGTAATGTCTTGATAATAAATAGTACATTATACATTTAAAATAAAACAGTTACTAAATAAATCTCAATGTATCGAAGAATTAAATGTATTGAAATGCGGGTGAACCTTGCCCATTCTGATATAGTCCTAAAATTCGACAAAAGAAATAAAACTAAATATCGTGAAATAAACTAATTGTATCTGTTATGTTTATAAATAGTTGAGTGGAATTCTCTTGTATCTTCGAATACGGTTTAATTTTGCGTGAAAAAGGATTAGTGAATTATTGAGGCAAATGTTATACTGAAGCGTCCAAATAATAAATGATGCGCAATCAAAATAAGTTAAGCATAAAATAAAGCATAAAATTTAACGTAAAGCGTAAAATAAAAATTTCGCACAGTAATGCGTAAAACAATAAAGTGAAAATATAAGGTGTAAAAAGCAAAATATTTAATGTAGAATATGTGTATAGTAAAAAGAAAAGCGTAAATAGAAGTAAAACTTAAAATATTTTTAGTAAAAATTATAGCAGAGAATGAAGAGTAATGAAATGTGAAATATCGGGAAAAGTTAAAGCGTATAAAATATGAAGTATAATATAAAAGTATTGCTTAAAGAGTGAGATAAAGTGAAGCAAAAATTAATTTAAAAGAAAGTTGAGCATAAATAAGGAATAAAGGGTTAAATGAAAGCGTAAAATCAAAAAGTAAAGCGGAAATTAAAAATCGGAAAGTATAAAAAGTGAAACATAGAAAAAAGTAAAGCATAGTAGAAAGTATAGCTTTAAAATGGGTGAAATATTAAGAAACGTGTGAAGCAAATAAAGGTCATTTCAAGTTAAGAGTATAATATACTGTGTAAAATAAAGCGTTAAATATAAAATTAAATATCGAATAATATAAAGCAAAAATTATAAAAAACTTAATCTTGTAGAGAATAAAATAAAACTTGAAGTATAAAGCAATGCGTAAAGTAGAAATTATTATAAAAGGCAAAATATTGTAAAAAGAAAAAGTAGAGTGTAAAGTAAGGAAATCTCTAAAATATAATATAGTAAAAAATACAGTATAGTGTAAAGTTAAGTATAAAATAGAAGCGTCAAGTAAACTAAGCATAAATAAATGTATTAAGTAAAATGGAATGTGAAGTATAAATTAATTCATAAAATGTAAAGAAAACAACTAATAACGTAATACGTAAAGTAAAAAGTGGAAGGCATAATGTAAAAATTGAATAAACTAAAAATTTGTCAAGTGGAAATTAGAAGGTTAAGTAAAACGTGAATTATAAATTACTGCGTAAGATATAGAGTAAAGCATAAATTGAAGCGTAAAGTATATAATTAAACTAAAGAGTAAAATGCAACGTAAAAAGTATAATGTAAAGCATAAAGTCAAGCGCAAAGTATAACGTAAATTCTGAAGAGTAATGTGAAACATATGAAATATAAAAGTAAAGATAAAAGAAAATCTTAAGTATAAAAAAAAAGGTGAGTGTGAAGTACAGTAAAGCGTGAAATAAAAAACATTAAGTATTAAGGTAAAGTATAAAGCAAAAAATATGTAGCTTACAATATTAAGTAGAAAGAAAAGTAAAGCGCTTGCAAAGTGAAACATGAGTTAAGTAAAAGGTACAACGAAAAAGTAAATTAAAGCGTAAAATATAAATTAGAGAAAAAAGTAAAATGTAGTGTAAAGTTATAGTATAAAATGAAATAGGGCAAATAAAAAGAACCATAAACTTTTTACCGCAAATTATGAAGTAAAGTAAGGCTTGAAGTTTAATGGCAAGCACTACGCATAAACTAAAGAATTTAAAAAAAAAGTGAAATGTAAACTAAAAAGTGTGTTAACTGAAGTGAAAAGAAAAGTAGTGCGAAAAATACAAGTAACGCGTAAGAAAAGTAAATGCAGAAAAAAGATAATGAAACGCATGAAATATTCAATAAAAAGTTTATAAATTATAGCATAAGAAAAAGCAAATTCATAACAAAGTAATTCAACGAATTAAAGCGTAGAAGACTTAAATGTAACGCATAATGAAAGTTAAAGCGTAAAATACAGTGCGTATAACGTATACGGGGAAAAAGTAATGCATAAAAAATAAACGCTAAAATAATAAAAATAAAAGTAACGCGTAAAATTAAAGAAAGCGCTTGAAAGCAACGCATAAAGAAATGTAACACTCAAAAAATTATAAACCTTAAATATGCAGAGGTGTAAAAATTTAATTGAAAAGGAGCGTAAATGTAACACATTAAAAATGTACAGTAAATGTGTGTAAAATAAAAAAAGTAACGCTCAAAATAACAAGATAATGCAAAACATTCGGGTAATGTGAACGAGTTGAAGATTGGTTAAAGTGAATGTGTAAAATGAATGCAGAAAAAGTAAAAGAGCGCATAAACAAATAAACGCTTAAAAAAAACGCATTACGAAAAAAAACGCGTAAAATTAGCGAGAATTTATAACTCAAAAAATGCATAAAAGTAAAAAAAACGAGTAATCAAAATAAACACTTAAAAGTAACTCTTAACAAAACTAACGCACAAAATTAATAAGAGCAATGGCACATAAAAGTAATGAATCTGAAAAGTAAACTTGTGCGTTAAATTTAATTTTTATGCGTTATTTTTGCAAGTAATGGGACAAATTAAAACGTAGAACGCGTAAGTATAACGTCTAAAAAATTAACACGAAATTAAATAGCACATAAAAGTAACTCAAACGAAACTCGCAAAATTTAAGAACGTGTAGAAGAAAAGTTATGCATTATATTTCCATAAAGGTCAAATTGAGAAAACAAACAATAATGAATAATTTAGTTTAGTGAATAATAGAGTGGATAAAATTTAGAATTTCCGATTTTTTTTCAAGACAACGTGTTTCCAGAAAATATTAAGCTGAAATGTTCCATCCTTAGTATGTTTGACACCTTTTTTCAGATGGTCAGGTAAAGAAATAGAGCAAAAACAAATTAAAAATTACCAAGGAGAATAATATTAGAAAAAAAAAGTTAATGCTGTATAAACTTATTAACTGTTAACTTTTTTAACATAAACAATTTTGAGTCGGCATTTTTCATGGTTAGTGTTTTCTATCCCTTAAGATTGAACTCTCCTCTTTAAGAATGAACTAAAATTAGTTATGAATTTTTGATTTTGTAACAATTTGTAAATTGAATAAAATACGTGTTATTTATTTTATATTTTATAATCAAAACTCCTTTGTAACTATCTTTAGAAATATCCTAAACTTCGAAAAGTGGAAATATTTCTACTTATATGGGACCGTTCAAATAAAGCATGTTTCTTTATTCAATTCTGGACGCTTAGTCACCTAAAATAAACAAATCAGATCCTGTGCACAGTTAAGTAAGAAAGTAATAACGCATTATCTTGCTCCAACTTTAGCTCTTCCTGAAGTAACCTAATATCAGAATTCAAATAAACAAGGTAATTTTTCAGAGCGTAAAATTAGTGGATATTTCCATCATTTTATAAAATTTTTGAGAAGAATATTCATTATTTCTGTTCTTCTGTTAAAAATCTTGATCTATGAATCACTTAACAGCAATTATTGCCCAACTTTAATTTTAAATTTGAAGTTATTTTAAAAATGATGTGATTTAAATGTCTTACGCAAGCATGGCTCATATCCCACCAGCCATTTGTCAGTAAAAA